GTCCACTGCTCAGGTACTTTAGTCTAACTTGTGCAGCAGGGATGAGTCAAGACCAGCCCTTCTGAGACCAAAACAGAAATCAGACCTGCATTCTGTAAACATAATTCATTTGTTTACATTGGGCAATAGTTATATGATAAACTTTAGAACACAGTAAGAGTAAAATAGATCTTTGACATGTTTAAAATAAAAGTACGGCAAAAAACATTTATTCGAACTTTCAAAACCGTGGACATCTCCTGTGGTGAGACAGCAAGTATGTTCTCATTTTTCAGTAAAGTCTGCAGGTAAATTTTTGCTTTTTTTTTTAAAGGAAACCATCAAAAGTGAAAACAATCAGAGAACTAAATGCTACGGTGTTGTAAACATTCTCACAGTAAGATTTTAAATTCAGTAAGCGCATTTACAACTGTATCTAGTCTGAGATGGTGGGATTTGGCGGTGCTCTGATCGCTGATGTTGACTTGAACTTACATGCAGTGCAATGTGGGTCTGCAGGTTAAGATAAAAGGGAGTTAAATGTTATATTATTATTATATTATTAAACATTTGAATGGAACGATAAAGGCTTGAAAAGGTCTTGGTACAATTTGTCAAAGCCCAACAAAACGAAACCAAGACAAGGACTGGGGGAAGAAACCAGGTTGAAATCAGTCTTCAGACCCTTTTTAAAAAACTGTAAAGAACATTCCTTTTTATCTTTTGTCAAAATATATTTAAGCAATAATTTTCCATAGGCAAGTTTGAGTAAAAAAATAAACTGAGAAAAGAACAAAGGCATGTTTGATTTTCTTTTAAACTAGTCAAAGATATGAGTTTATTTTGAACATACAACAAATCCAGTTTATATCATTCATACTGGATTGTTCTAACTTTTACAGTTTATATTCAATTCAATTCAATTCAGTTTATTTCTAATGATGCTACATTTATTTTTAGCTTACTGTTTCAAGCCCTTTTCTTGATTCTTCAGCACAGAGGGGCCGTCTACACAGCTCATGGCAACAATCCACACCTAACTTGTACTACCTGTACTGATCCTACGTGGCAAATAAAAATATTGATTTTTCTTCCCTCAACTCCCACTTTAAAGGACTTCTTGCAGAGCTCCATTCCATCTAATCACTTGGCAAAAGAGTCAAGCATCTAAATAAAGAACCATTTAATAAATAAAATATTCCCTGGATCAACGTGTTGCTCTCACCTTTGTAGATGAAATTACTCGAAAAGCTGTTACAAATCAATATAATCAATGCAATCAGCTAACTGACATAGGCAATCTCCTGCCAGTAAGTAAAAATACCCCTGGTGGAGATCTTTCAATACCTAGAGCCATAATTGCCCCCGAGGGCGACGTTAGGGTGTAGCATTTTGTACACTTAATTAAATTAGCGAGCTCTACAGACGGTGTGGGTGGCTGGCCTCACGGAGGAAAAATAGGTTTGGATTAGTGCCAGTAATTAAAGCAATACCTTTCCTGATTACGCCAATCCCCTTTAATGAACTCATTATGCATTTTAACCCAAACACTCCCATGAATTAATGGCCGCACAGAAAGCTTCTGGATAAAAAGGAGGCCTGATCAGAAGCAGAAGTCATAATTCATCCACTCAACAGGGCAGACGTAATGTCCATATTTTACTCTTTTAGCTGCAGCCAAGACCAATTTGGGCCCGAGTGACAGCAAAAGTTCTGACTCTGGGCACATAAAGCCTCGAAGAATAAAGATCTCTTTGGCAAGTAACGACAGAAACTTACTAGATGACTTTACAAGGTTTTCCCGGAATCATAAAATAATTTCTGTATTTAGTCAGGCTTGTTTGGATTTTCTTATATAGACACATCTTATGGCTTCCAAACATATGGGCAAAGTGATTTAGAGATCTAGAGGCACTGCAGAAGAGGAGCAGATTTGCACTGACCCATAATGCTTTGCTAATTAAATAATTCATTAAATGATTCATTGCCAAATCAATAAAACCTTGGGATGGTTTATAGTGTGAGACCAGTCTGTGCATGGGGACTTAGGTGAGGTTGCAAATGAAACATGCAGTGTTCGGAAAAAGAGGAGGTTGAAAAACAGCGGCAGTGTCCTATGAAAGGGACAGGGTTTTAGAGTTGGTGCTTACATGTAAAATGACCTTGGCGTGACCTTGTAACTGTGTTGTATGATTTTATTCTCCATAATTCTTTGAAAGAAGTAAATTCAAGATTTCCTTATTTCAAACAAAAGGATTATGAGGGTACTGAAAGGCATCCAGGTTGTAAACATGTTGCAGCCTGAGTTACTTTTATGACAGTTTACATTTGTAAGCCAGACACAAGAAAGATGAAAATCTTCTTAACCCTTTAACAGCCTGGTCAACCAAACGGCTGATCATTTTCATAGGAAAATGCAGGCTGGAGTTGGACAAGAATGTTAATATGAATGAAGCAAAGGTAATGTGCTATACTTCATATTTTCCCTTAAACCTTGTTTAAGTAGATGGAATTTGCACTAACACCAAATGTCACAAGGAAATATGAAAGGAGGTTTCATATTGCAGAATGGAGTATTGCAAGGTTAAAAACCAATAAACGCTAAGACTATATTCACCTGTTACCCACTGGTATTTATTTTTATTCTAAAACTACACTGTTACATGATTTCTGAATAATCTGGCTGAAAAACAAGAAATCTGTTTCTGCTTATTTGCAAAGAATATCTCTGCAAAGATACTAAGAATGTCGCTTTCTGCCACATGCATCTAAAGACACGTTTTTTTGTAGAAAGGCTTTTGATGGACTGAATACAAACGCATTGTGCCTCAGCTACAAAAAGAACTCTTGAAAATGTCACTTTTAGCCACAAATTAATATATAAAAAATGTACAAATACAAGTCATGTTATAGTTTTCATTCCAACCAGTACTTGATTTTTGTTGTCTTTAAAAAAACAAACAACTTATTTTTCTGCTTTCCATTAATTATCTATATTCAGAATATATATATTTTTTTAAATATAAGGTCTGTAGCCTTTTTCTTTAAGTAAATAATTATCCAAATTGACCCATAACACAAAAACTGATCCTAGCTATGATAATGAGATTAGAAACAATTTCTAAACAAACAAGATATTTTCAATCTCTCATCTGTAATAATCATGTAATATAACCTTTTTTATTTCTATATTTAACTTGAGGTTTATCTATATTTTTTTGATATAAAGAAAGCACATGCCAACAAAAGAAAGGTGCAGAGCGCATGAGCAAAACATATCAAGCTCAATGTTTTCATTGATAAGGAAGCAAAACAAAGTAACTAGGAAGTAATAAATTACTTGGATTTTAAACACAGGTTAATTGTTAAAAGATGTGTTAACCAACCCGAGCATCATCATTGCACTCCACCTGAATGTCATTGTGAATTTTTTGTTCGTGTACAATTAAAATAAAATAAAAAAAATTTTTTTTAAATATCAGACAGCAAATAAAGAGGGAGGTAAGGTATGTGTGCTGCAAGTTCTTCAAACGACTTTGATTGGCTTTTTTGGTTTTTGTGATTTGTTTACTGCAATTAATTTTTTTTTATTTCAACTTATGAAGCCAACATCTCCCCTATCACAAAGTTCACTGTTTAGAAATAATATTTTTTTGTCTTTTTTTTTGTGAAATCATGCACCAGAAAAGGCTTAAATTACTTGATCTAACCATTTTTTTTCTTTACAACTGGACTTTTATAGGGGGACATACATCCAATTATCTGCTTTAATATTTTGAGTTCAACTTTCAAATTCCCAATTTTAGGTGAGATTTTAATGAGCACAGAATTTAGGTAATTATCATAAAGCAACCAACACCTGTATAATAAAAATAAAATGCAAGGAAACCCTGCAAATTGTGCATCATAACCTCTATAGTGCAGTTATGAGTTTGAACTAACCTTTTACAAAATGCAAATGGTTTGCAAATATACGCGACATTCCAGAAATACATGTTGGTAATGAAGCTCCTGATCCAAATCTGCAGGTTATGCATTAATGTTTCCTCTTCAAAAATTGTGCTGCAGCAGGTTTTCACAATTTCTTGTGAACAATATTTCTCAGAAAAATAAAAAACTGTTAGGGATTTTAGTAGATCGGTGTAATTTAACACTTCATAAACATTGTGCTTTTTCTTTTAAGGACAATAATGCAGCTCATCTAATCTATATAAGCTTTCAAGGCATTTCCGTCATTATTTAATTCTGTGTAAAGTTAAAATGTTTGTTTTCTCTGGAAGCTTCAGTTTTGATCTACATATGTTTGGAATTTTTGAAATATTTTGTTAAAACTGTTAAAAATATTCTAACCAAATAAAAGACTTCAAAATGATTTCACTTAACAATACAGTGACAGTATTTTGCTTTGTTACAAGACTTTAGTTTTCAGCCAAAATATGAAAATGACTCTCCCTTTAAATATTATATAATGTAAGTATGTTTTTTTTCTTCTTAACACCATTATTTCACTAGAGCATCACTTAATGACTGCAGGATCTTCACTGGTTTGTGTTGATTAAATCAAAAGCAAAGGAAGTAGTGCTTAGCACTCAGCAAAGTGCAGGAAGCCTTTTTATTTCACAATTATTAAAAAGTGTACAGAATATAGAATGCTACATATTTAACATTTATACACTCATTATAGTGCAGAAAATAGGACATAAAATATGATTCGACCAATTTTCAATAAATCATAAGTAACCCATAATAACAAATGTGTCTCATACCTACTCATTTCTTCTTACCAGCAGCATCACAGAAGGTTTTTATTTGCAGACAAATTGCATGACTTTATGGTCATCGCTAAATCCAAATGTTGCATCAAATGAAAATGTATTTACACAGTCGGTCAACCACACTAAACTGTTAACTGTACATTTCAAAGATAAAGGCCAGTTCAACAGTACTGATGGTGAAAATAAATCTATTTTACAGCCACAAAAGCAAAAAATTAAACATTAATGCCCCAAATATTTGTTTTCCCAGGAAACCTATAGGTACTGTTTTCTAATGTGGATCTTCTGAGATGTTAGCGTATCCTGAGAGAACCAGACGTGTCAAACACATGAAGAAACCAAAACTGAACAAGCAATGCTGGAATGCAAAACTACTAAACCAATTAAAAACATCACCATAAATATTAAAACTACTGAAAAAAAGGAAAAGTATCATCCTGCAATAACATTAACAGCAGCACCTTTACGTACCATCAACACAAGTTTCCTAAGGGATTACCGAATCCAAGAATCTGTGTGATCAGAATGATGCCCGCCTTTGGTCTAATTATTTTTATCTCTGTGATTCAGGCAATGAACCTTAAAAAGAGTCAGAATGAATGATACTACTGTACTGGTAACTTCAGCTAAACCTAAGAGCATGCGATAAAAAACTGCATTGGTTTATAAAAGAGATGAGGATGCAGCTTTACATGCTAAACTACGTGCTAAACTCAGGCATAATTTATTTACTGGAATGTTTGGGAAGGGTTTTTTTAACTCAACATTTTCTTACTATATTAATATGGAAAATAATAATTAGAAGAACATTCACCAGAAAACAAGATCTTCTTTTTTAACTCAACAGATGTTAGAGAGAATTTTTTATCTAATTCTCAGGCCTCCACAATAACATCTACAGCAGCTGTTACTCAGGAAAGGGAAGGAAATAAAAGGCCATTAATTAATACAATCAGTTGGCTGCTGATTTCACCTACGCAGGCATAGTTTTGGTTTTAAACATTACAATACAGCAATCATCGACGGGCAGAGAGTGTAAGCAGCTGCAGGCCTTGAAGTTTAAATTATAAATTTAAAAGTAGAAATGTAAACAGCTTTAGCTGTTTTTTCCCCCCCCAATTTAATAGTTTCAGGAGCCAAAATTATGACAGGCGTTTCAGAATTACGAGTAAGCTAGGTGAGTGTATTAAACAAAGAATTCATGCACTTAATTTATCGATATATTATTTATATTTACCAGAAATACGGCTATTGAATCCTCAACCACAAATTAGTTCAAAGTGTAAGAAGAGCATAGCTTGCAGAACTAAACTAAAGGGCTGAGGGTTTCAGAGAAACATGAAATATTTATCGCCTTGAGTAACTTTTCAGAGAGAAAAATGTCCCTTTTCTTAATGCAAACAAGAAGGTGAAGCATTGCACTTCAAGGTGTGAAACAGTTTAAGGCATATTTGATCTTGCTCCATAAGGATTATACTTAAAAAAGGTAAAGGGCAGATGATACATAAAAATAATATCTATTTTGCACTCTAAAAGAACAAATAAAAGGTGACACTTGAAGCTGGAATTAAAGCGAAGCTGTGCTGAAGCTGGTGAAGAGTCCATGGTTCTAATAAAGCGCACCAAGCTGGAATCAGACCATGTTGGTCTGAGTGTTCGGGCTGCGGCTCTGCAGGTCCTGTACCTGATCCAGAACCCAACCGATGTTTGGTCGCTCCTGAGGATTCGAAACCATTATGGAGCTCAGCAGCATCTGGAGACCCTCTGAGTATCTAAGAAAAAAATAATAATAATTTCAGCTAATACTTAAAATCTGCACCACAACCACCAGGAACGTCATTATAAAAAGTGTGTCATTTAACTAGACTATTGCCCGCAGGAGATCTGAACAGAAGAAATAAAATGCTTGAACGAAAAAGACAAGGAGTTTACATTTAAAGTCCGAACATGTGAGGGAAAACGTCTTTTTCCTGTTTTATTACTGACCTGCAAGTCACTGGGATTTTAACTGGATTCTGGACAGCCAAAGCAACGCTGTCCCCCTTCTGGAATATCATATCATATGGGCCCTCCAGCATCATCATGCAGTACAGCACGCAGCCCAGCGACTGGGGATTAATGAAAACAACACAAACAAAAAAGGTTTGTCGATTAATTAAGGATTTTTCCCTTTTGTCTTAAGCTTCAGATGTTAATATAGAAAAGAACTTGGCAAGACGATGGAGGACGGCTCTGGGGTTTTACCCAAATATCAGTGCGCTCATCTATAATGCAGTGACTCTCTACATTAAAGAGCTCAGGAGCTCTGTAGGAAATTGTGCATCGTTGTGCGGCCCAGTCCTGTACAGTCATTGCTTCTCTGGATCCCTTCACCTGTTAAAAGAAAACAACAGTTTCAAACTCTCAGACTAAAAACATTACATAATCTTCTGCAAAACTTCTGAACATCTCAATTCTGAGGTTTAGGTGAAATGTTTAAAATCACAATTTAAAACAATAGAAAGATGTCTAATCAAGAGACAAAAATAGGCCTAGTGGCTCTAAAAGCAAATGAATATAGCAAATGATCACAACTGAACCGAAACAAGCACGAGGCCGCGAGATGAAAACCAAGACTGAAAAACTGAAGCCATAATTTGTCCATAAAGCAAACAAATAAAAATATTTGATCACCTTAAACCCATACGGCCTCAGTTCTGCTGCTTATATGATTATGTGAGCAAAAATATTAGAATGTAAGCCACAAGTATTCATTATAAGGAGTTTTCAATAGCCTCAACAGTGTCAATCTGCCATCTAGTGGTGAAAAAACAGAATTCCAATCAAGAAACGTTTTTTTAAGTTCCTGCTTGCATCCCAAGAACTCAATATCCACTAGTATGTCTCCCTTTAGAGTAAGAGATAGCCCTTACTGGGGGTGGGGGGTCTGTTTCAATCTGTTAGTCATCTAAAATGAATGTTACTATTTTACAGATGGCTATGACTGAATACATTTTATTAGGGGTTAGTAAAATCCCACCAACTTCTTAAAGCTTAAAGCACATACCTCAATTCTAGCACGGTTCATTGAACCCAGATCCATCAAAACGGGCCTGTCATCCTCATCCAGAAGCACATTTGTAGGTTTTAGGTCCCTGTCAGATCAAAGCAGATTGCAACATACTTTATATAAAGATTTAATAAGTCAAATTGCAAGAATATTGCTTTTTTTGTCAAGAAACCTGCATTGCTTTTTTTTTGCTTCATTACAATAAAGGGCGTAACTTAGTGCTGAAAGTTGGTGGGGACACTCGGTGGGTGGCTGATGGACCTACAGTTACTCAACCCGAACGCTTCCTATATGTTTGTGTATTTTCAAAAAATGAGCTCAAACATAAATTTATTGAATGCTTTCCTATTGTTGAGAACACAATAGAACCATAGTAAACTAATATTTATATTTATAGATAGTTAGAGAGATGCCTTTTAGGGCATTACATATATTAGGCCTGAAAACAATGTGTAAAAAAATAACCAATAACAGCTGATTACAATGCCAACATTGATATATCATGCAGAAGTACAATTTAAATGCCATCCATCCAGAAAAATATTGATATGCTTCATTTTAAATATAGCAAATTTTTTTTCTTGCAAACTTTCCTGTAAACTTGGAGATATATTTTATTGCACGTTGCATATCCCAGTAAATCTGTTTCACCTTTAATCTGCAGATCTCCCTACTTCTCTCTGTGTTGTTTAAAATGATTTATGAACCTCTTTACTAATATAATGATACCAGAAACAAAATTTCAAGATATGTAGAAGCTCTGCAGTCTGATTCTGTCTGCAAATTTAAAAAAAAGATTTTAACCTGTAACTGGGAGTCATGGTCCTCTGAGAAGCCAAGCTTTTTTTTTTTTAACTAGAACAAATTATGTTTTTTCAAGCTTCTTACATTAAAATACTAACGTGTATAAACTTACAATCTTAAGCTGGAAAACACTGACTAACAGAATTTTTGGTGGCATTTCTAATTTTTTTCACCAAACTGTCTCCCAACTTTTACGTAAACATTGAAGAAGCTGCTGGTTAAATTCACTAAGTGCTGCTGTGTGTCTCTCCTCCAACCATGTAGCTACTATGTAACGCAGTGAAATGCAACTGCAAATCAGATGTCTCAAAGCGACAGATCCAATTATGTCACACCGAGAGGCGGGACACAGGAGCAGCGCGAGAGAGGACAAAATACACCGACTCAAAACGCTCTGAACACAGATAGCTGCACCAAACCTCTGTTACCTTTGGCTAAAGTAAAGTAAATGAGCACAAAAAGTCCTTCAGAAAGTTACACCTATGATTACAATACTTGCCGACAAAAACATTACTTACAGAGAAGTCATACTCAAATACACTCAATACATCACACTTATCTAAGCTTAAACATTTCCTTTTGGTCTTTTCTATGATGGATGAATAGAAGAGGAATAAAAATATTTTCATTGTGCCAATATTGTTCTGTCATGTTTACATTCAATAACCATTTGCAGTTTTTCTACAGTAATCATTAATTAAAACGTAGCACATGATTTGATGTCTCTACCAGAGTCCTTTTCTCTACAGAGACCCTGTGATCATACCTTTAGTGGTACAAATACACCCTTCCGCTTTTTCCCCCGAAATAGATTGAATATAATTTCATAAATAGAATATTATTTCACATCAAAAGCAAATTTAAGGTTGGCAGTAACTAAAGCATTGGGTGATTACCTGTGGGCATAGCCTTTGTCATGAATAGCCTTCAAACCAGAGCAGATTCCACGGAGGATTTTTAAAATCTGGTTCTCAGGCATTAAGCTCCCCTTGTCTCTTAGTTTCTCCAAAACAGACCACAGGGTTCCCTTCTGTTCACACAAACACATCAGAATATGATCACAGTCGGAAAGGTTTCTTTCATCAACAGAATTGCAACGTCAACTTACTCTAATGTACGGCAGAAGGAGCCAGGCTTCGGTTTTGCCTCCGCTGTCAACAAAGGCGTATGCAACCAGGCTTAAGATGTTCTGATGATTAAACATCTGATGCATTTCCACCTCAGTCTGAGCCTCCTGGCGAGCCTGGCGGTCATGACATAAGATCTTCTTCAGAGCGTAGAATCTTCCATCCTTTGCTCCTTCAACCAAATCAACGTAGCTGAACCCACTGGAGAGTCAGGGGGGAATCCAGTTAGAGGGGAGCATGAAATAAAGTCGCACAGCAACTGACATGTGACATTGCAATACAAACACAGTAACTCACCCTTCGTCCAATTTCTGGACAAAGTAGTATTTTTTGTTATCAATGGTGAGGGAGCCACGAGCGCATATACACAGGGCCTGTCCCATGCTGACTGGTACATTGTTTTGCCAAAAGCTTTAAATGAACCTGAAAGAAACCAAAATTTACAGGCAGCAAAGAACCTCACTGAGGTTGTGATTAGGAGTGAAACAATTAATCAGATTAATCGTGATAATCGTTTATTGAAATAATAATAATGGTCAGCTAATTTAGTAATCAATAAATTGCTAAATGGCATAAAGAGACTGTTCAACACGCCTTTAGCTGACAGAGCGACCACTTAGAGCTGTAATTTGATCATAATTGTAAAAAATTATATTAATGTTTGCATTTAAGATTTTAAAAAATGTGTTTGTCAATCTGCTCTATCTAGAAGGAACCTTTGGCTATCCCATTATCAATTAATCAACAGATTAATCGATTTGCAAATAATCATTAGTTGCAGCCCTATTTGTGATAATCAAAGAGGAAAAGATGTTCTGCTTTTATTTTTGATCAAAATACTTTATCACTTTAAACCAACTGACAGTTCCCATTGGCTGTCATTGGGATAGCTCTTTAAAATTAATGGTTACATGTAATTAACTGACTTGAACATGATCATGTTTTGGTTATTCAGCGTTTGGCAGTATTTAGTCCATCAATATGTCATTGAGCCATAGGCAGGGTGAAATCTGGAAGGGTTTTTGAACACTTCAGTTTTAACAAACAGATCAGTTCAACCAGTTATATATGAATAAATCAGAACAAAGCAAACAGAACCAACAACGAAGCTTGTGGTGTGTTATGGATTAATAAATCACTATTTAAGATTTTAAAAAGCTTGAAGTTCTGCTCATTGTTGAAGAGCTCGCATTGAAATCAATGCATTTCAAGCACTACATCCCTTTAATATGTGACGTTTGAATTTTTTTTAATTTTATTTTAACCAATCGGATGATTTTTTTGGAGAGAATGTCGGAGAAACAGCACTTATGAGATATTATTTTGCGTATATATGCATCAATAAATAAAATAGTTGGATATTTTGTCAGAACTAGGTGACAGAAAGCAAAGGTTTACCTAAGCTAACACAACAAACCGACAATATATTCAAGTTAAGATGCATATTCTGAGTAAAATAGTATCGCGCGCCTTTCTTTTAAAACCACAGTTTCAATATAACCCCTCAGGTATTAGCTGAAGAATGGTTGTAGAGAATATTTCTTACCAACTCATCTTCCTTAACACATAAGCTAGCTGGTATATTTTAAGCTAATCTTCTTCTTCTTGAGCTCAACAGTCCGTTGAGCGATGAGCAAACAGCGCCTGAAAACACACTAGCGGAACAAACCGACCGAGTTCGAGTTTCACCCGAGAAAGATATGATGGCGGATAACAAACCTAACAGGAAAAGTAGCTCCGACGACGGAGGTGATACATGTGCTGTTTTGATGTTTAAACCTAGTTTACAAATAAAAAATGTTAAACGATATCTTAATGTGCTGCCTATTTAGTAAAAAGAAGCCCGACCGCAAAGAAGACGTTTAATGAACTTTAGCAAGATGAGTTGATGTTAGCTTTAGCTGGCTACTACTAGAGTAGCTAGTGTTTAAACTGGTTTAAAATAAAGCATATAGTGCGAGTTAAATTTTTAAGGAGGCTAAACTACCATTGATGAATCGAGTTGTCGATGGTTGATACGGACTTGTGAAATATGAGCCTCTTGACGGTTTGCTGCCCGGTTAACTGGAATGAAAGTGGCTAGCCAAATTAGCTTAGCTCATTCTAAATCGCATAGCATGAACTGCTGCTGCTGCATTAAACGAGGCAGTTGTTGTAAGCTGTTGCACAGAGGGTTCGATGGTGGATCTCTTTATATGCAGGAGAAAGAAATGACTTTCTGTTTGGTTTAGGGATAGCTAGATCAAGAGTTAAAGGAAACTGCATTAGCTTTTATTGTGCATGACTTGCTTTAAGCAAAACATCTTATTTATTTTGGCAGCTATTGAGTATTCTTTTTGGTTTATATATGAATGGAACAACTTGGAATGATTCATCTCTTAAGTTTGTTCGTCATAATTTTTAGTTTCTTTTTAAGTATATTTTATCTGTGATTTATTACAATAGTCATGTGCATCCCTTTTACCAACTCTTTGACGAGCCCTTAAAAAATTTATGTGCACCTGATTGTGAAGCAGAAGACTTCTTTGATTAAGTTTAAAGCCCCTTGTATAAGTGTAAAGTTTCACTATTGCTGTCACCGCCTGGCAGCTACAGTGACTTAACTATATTGATTAGCGTGTCTCTAGTTTTATTGGCTTTGCTTGTTTAATTAATGATGCAGAATTTACTTTAACAGCTATTTGACAGTCACAGATAAGACATTTCTTATAATTTCTAATTAGAGGAGCATAAATTGTAGCATTGAACTCTCCTGTATCTCACAAAGCAGTTGTTCACCTCGGTGAGTTGTCTTGCTTCAAGCAGGGCCACAGGAGGAGGAGGACAGAGTGAAAACTAAGCCTGTCTCTTGTAGCACTGGGGGAGGAGATGGGACTGCTGTCAAACGCACATCTCAGCATCTTACCCCTGAAGATAAGGAGCAGTTCTCAGAAGACCAACCAGCCCCTTGCAAAACCGCCAAAATTGGCTTCAGCATGGGCAGTAAGGTGGCAAATAAATCAAACCCAATTTCTATCAAACTAGGAGCAACGGTAAGTGTTAAGGAATGAGCAATTGCACATTGTTATTTGTGCAAATTACACTTTAAAAAAAAATTGTTTATGATTAGTTACAGACCAGCATGAAGATTAAGCTGCTAGCATCCGATACATGCTTATCTGAGCCTTTATAGATAAACTGATTGTAATCATCAATGTTTCTGGAATACAGAGTCAAGTCATTTTGTTCACACCATTAGGGTTTCTTTTTATAATTGAACACTAAAAAGTTGCGTGTTGCTTTGCTGTGCTGCTTTGCTTTGATGTTTTCTGTCCCTGACTTGTTCTAGAAACCAAAGGAGATTGTTCCAACTCTTCCTCCCAAAAAATTAGTATCTGTTTTTAATGAAGATGATGATGTAAGTACCCACATACAAAGTCATGTAGTATAGATAGAAATAGATGATCAGTAGCTGATGTCATCATCCTCTTTTGTATAGAGTGAACCAGAAGAAATGCCTCCAGAAGCAAAGATGAGGATGAAGAATATTGGGAGGTAAAAAAAAAAACAAAACAAAAACTTTAAGATTATCCTGATTTTCCTTTGATAAATACATGCTTGAATTCTTTTCCCAGGTGTTAACATACACTGCATATAGAAACTGATAACTATTTATTTTTATTTTTTTTACTGTTTGGCTCTTAATGAGTCTGATCATACCCCACTGTAGATCAGTTTAGATTACCCAAATTATTTCTACTATTGCCTAATGCAGTAATACAATTTAGGAACATCTTAATGATGTTATGTGAGTAGATTTCTGTGTGTAAAGATCTAGAGGAGATGGATGCCTCTCAAGCTTCTCCCATCTTTTCGTCGCATTGATTTTTTTCTCTCTTTTATTCCTTCTGTTTGGATATATTTAGATTTTGATTGATGATTTTGATGATGAATGTGCAAATAAACCCAATACGTTTGGGGAAATGATGGCGGAAGCTTCTAAGTTAAGGTTATGCTATTATTATTATGTTAGATAGCCTAACATGGCCTGAAAGGCCACTCTCTGACGAAGAAGCCATCATTCCTAAAACAAAAAAAAAACAACAACCCATAAATGAATGAAAAGAGACTTAAGTTAACAAACTCAGGATCAAAGACTTTAATGTTTGGAGATGTGTCCTGTGGTCTGATGAAACAAATGAAAATGTATAGCTTGGATGACCAAGGCTGCAATTGGAACTGAAAGGGAGAAACCTGAAAGACTGAGAAAAGCATCTCCTCTGATGTTAAGGCACATTATCTAAATATTTGTTGCAATCATGTTAAAAATTCCAACCTGAACGGCATGCTGCCAAATAATCTACAGGGTAATTTAAGGACAAAAGAGATCAGTGTTTCAAAGTTGTTTTAAACTGCAGGGGTGTATGATCAAGAAGGCTCGGGCTAAATGCATTGAGTTTCATCAGAATATTATGGGACACTTCTAGACAAACAACAAAAATCTTTAACCCAATTCATACAGTTCAATTCTTGTATTACTATTATAACATGTAAAATTTATAAAGAACCATTATAATTCTGAAAAGGAAGAAGCTTGTTTAATGTATGGTGAAATGGGAAAAAATAGTTTTTATGTAAATGACTCATTTCAGCAATGTATAGAATTTTATTGATTAAATTTAAAGTAATGAAGTTATCTTTTCAGGGAGACGCCAACGTCTGCAGGACCTAACTCCTTCAACAAGGGCAAGCAGGGCTTCTCTGATAATCAGAAACTGTGGGAGAGGAAGATGAAGGCCCAGTCTGACAAGCCATAAAATCATTACAGCAAAAAGTTGTCACTAATAGGGAATTTTATACTTGTTAACATTATGAGTTATCTTGGAAGGCTGTCATTTTTGTTGCTGTAGCCTTACCTTTTACAACTTTTCAACTCTCCTGAGATGCGATGAAGACTACTTTCAACCCTTTTCAATACCTCCAACTACAACTGGTCGATTCTAACGTGGTGGAAAAAATTTTCAGGCACCTTTTATTCCAGAGATTTGGGTAGGTACTAAGGGAGGAAGGAAGTTAGCCAGAAAATACTTGTAAACTTTTCCACCGTCTTGTATTTTGTTGGAGAATTGGATGATTGAAACAATTACTACCCTCATGTTGTTATTATGATGTTTCTCGTTCCCTCCATGAGCTTAGTTCGGTTTAGTCCTAACGAGCTTATTGCTTGTTTGATGTTGGTGTAAAAATGTACATAGCAACAATATTTTATGTTTTAATCCAGAAAGCATACTGTGAGTTAAATATTTTATGTAGGTGTTTTTTTGTTTTTTGTTTCCAATTTCTTTCGTGTTCAGTTTCTCCCGTTATTGTAAAAGCCCCCGCTTTCACCACCTCTGTCCTCTATGTGCGCATTTTAAGTTACAGTCACCTCTCCTATGATTAAAAATGTCTAAAACAAAGGTTGTACTTCTTGTAGAATTATTTAATTTTGCAAACAGTTTTCCTATTCAAATTTAAAGTCAAATTTATGTCCGCTAAATTCCATAACTCATGAAAAAGTCTGCCTGAATTGCTCTATCCACCCCCAATATTCAAAAATGTACATTTTCAGTGGACTTAACTACCCATTGTTCAAATATTCCCAAATAAAATATACCAACACATCTTCTGTAGTCTCTGTTTCAATTATTTTGTTAAATACAGGTTTAAAAGCAAAAGTTTGTCATTTGTTTATTAAATATTAATAGAATAAAAATGTTACATTTTAAGAAATTACAATAGTGCAGTTACATTATTATTTTTTTTACAGTATTAAACAGCAGAGTTTATCCAAATGTTTAAAATGGAAAAAGAAGCTACCGTACTCGTTTGAAAGGACCCATTGTTTTCAAGAGTGTGAAATTAACACCTGTTGAGTTTAAATGTCTGTTGCCATGGAAATCTTTACACATTTCCTTAGATCCAATGGTTTTTGGAAAGTCTGATTGTCTAAGTTTAAGGTCTAATATATGTGGGGTTCTTGCTGGAAAATGATCCTCATATCTCAGTCTAACTGAGGCCGCTGCATGTGTGAGATCTGCCACGCTTCCTGAGCTGGCAAGGCTTTCTGCAAAGGGATCCAGAAGGCACTGTATGATGCTCCTGCGTCCCACTGCAGACTGGGAAGTACCTTCACGGCTCTTTGCACTAGTTTGGGCACTGTTAAATCTGGCTGGATAAATGACGCAGAAGTTCCACTGGTCCATATTAACAACATCTTGTGGGCAGACGTTTGTAGCAAAGCCTAAAGATGTGGAAGAAGCTGAGTCATAAAGTGTTAAAATACATTTCAAAATGAATCAGGTTTAACTGAGGCTTTCATGAAACCGAGATTTTTTTTTGTTGTCAGTTGTGCGGTTTCATCTGAATTCCCTGCACTGGTACTGGTTTTTATTTAGGCGAAACAGCAACAACTGAAAGCAAGCTGTATGTTTTTGTAATGCTTTCCATACCACTGAAACCTGGATGTCTACCATATATTATTTCCCCTTAATACGGTTAAAAGTTTATCATTTTATTCAATGGGATTTCTTTTATATTTGCAAAAAACCTTATAAATCCTTGTCTGATTTACAGGTGAGAGTTACTATTGAGAGCTACTATTAATTGTTTGAATAAAAAAAATGAGGAGGAAAACC